CTCACGTGTGAGTGAAATCATGTGTTCTTTTTCTTTTTCTGTCTTACTTTGCTTAGCATGATATTCTCAAGATTCATCCATGTTATCACAGATGGCAGTATTTCATCTTTTTCAGGGCTAAGTATTCCACTGTATAGATCACATCTTCTTTACCCAATCATTTAGCAAAGAACAATTAAGTTGTTTCCATGTTTTGGCTATTGTGAATAATGATGCAATGAACATAGAGGTGCATATGTCTTTGTGAATAAATGTTTTCAAAATTTTCAGGTAGATACAGGGGGTAACATTGGTTAATAAGATTATGTAGGTTTCAGATGTACATTTCTGTGATACATTATCTTCATATTGCATTGTATGCCCACCACCCATAGTCAAATCTTCCATTACCATATATTTGTCCCTCTTTACCCTTTACTACTCCCCGACCTGCTTCCCTCTGGTAACCACCATACTATTGTCTTTGTCTATGAGGTTTTGTTTGTTTTTCTTGTTTCTACATTTGTTGCTTTCAGTTTTCTCTCATGTGAGTGAAATTATGTGGTTCTTAACTTTTTCTCTCACTTATTTTGCTTAGCATGATATTCTCAAGATTCATCCATGTTATCACAGATGGCAGTATTTCATCTTTTTCAGGGCTAAGTATTCCACTGTATAGATCACATCTTCTTTACCCAATCATTTAGCAAAGAACAATTAAGTTGTTTCCATGTTTTGGCTATTGTGAATAATGATGCAATGAACATAGAGGTGCATATGTCTTTGTGAATAAATGTTTTCAAAATTTTCAGGTAGATACAGAAAAGAGGGGTTGCTGGGTCATATGGTAACTCTATTCTTAGCTCTATTTTGAGGAACTTTCATACTGTTTTCCATAGTGGCTGTTCCAGTTTACATCCCCACCAGCAGTGAATGAGGGTTCCTTTTTTTCCCACAACCTCTTCACTCTTGTTATTACTTGTTTTGTTGATAATAACCATTCTAATAGGTGCAAGGCTGTATCTCATTGTAGTTTTGATTTGCATTTCCCTAATTGCTAGTGAAGTTGAGCATTTTTTCATATATCTGTTGGCCATTTGTATGTTTTCTTGACAGAAGTGTCTGCTCAGGTCTTATGCCCATTTGTATTTTATTA